ATTTTCATTTAATTTTAGGTGGTAAAGAAAAATTTGCTTATATTGGTTTATTTGATGGTTATAATGGAAAAACAGCTAGTACATTATGTCGAGAACATTTTCATGAAGCAATTCTAATGGAAATATCTAAATTAATAAATGATATAAATAGTTCAGAAATTGAACAAACTCTTATCAATCATCTTTATACACGTATGATTGATCCATCAAATGATCATTGTAATATAAAAAATATTGGTGATGTATATCGTTTGTCTTATTTAAAAATGGATCATCTTCTATCACGTGGTATTCATGAAACATCAAGTGTTCGTTGGAGTGGTACATCAGCATTTACAGCTGTAATTGTAGCTAATGATAAAATTGATGATTTATTAGTTGATTTAGAAAATAATGATGATGATGATGATGAAAAAAAAAGTCATATGATTCTTGGTCATATTCATGTAGCTAATTGTGGTAAAAATTTCTTTTTATTTCTTATAGTAAAATAGTTTTATTTATGTTCTTTTTTAAAGGAAATGTTGAAGCATTAGGTATTCGAGCTGATGAAGTTTTTTTAATGTCACAAAAACATACATTAATTAATAAACGTGAACGTGAAAGAATATTACAAACAGGTAAAATTTTTCTTAGAAACAAAAAAAAACAAATTCAATAATTTACATTAATATAATAATTTTTAGGTATAAAAATAAGTGAAAATGATTTAATTGCTGGTATACATGAAACAACACGTGGATTAGGTAATCATGGTGATAAAGATATTAAAAAATGTGTTATTAATTCACCTTATTATTGGACATATGAAATTGATTCATCATTAGAATGTATTATAATAGCTACAGAAGGTCTTTGGCAAGTTCTTCAATATGATATTGTTGCTGATATTGTTACACAAGTAATACAAAAAAAACAAAAAAGTTTTATATTATAGAATTTATTTTTCTATTAAAAAATAGTGTTTACCAGCACATCATATACCAGCACCTAGTCGTATGGAAACAGCACTTCGATCTGTACTTGAAAGATATGGAACATCAATACATACACCTTTTTTAACAAATGATGATGATACTATTGCTGATTGTATGAATGAAATATTATATTTAATTGAAGAAGAAAATGAAAATAATATAAATAATTTATTTTCTACACGTAATCGTGCAGTACAATGTTCAGAAGATGATATTCATCAAGAAATATGGAATTCTTTATCAGCACAATATCGTCTTCGTCTTGAATTAGCACAAACAATTGCTGAACGTCTTGTATCAGCAGCAATTTTAGCACAATCAAAAACAAATATTAGTGTCATATGTCTTTTATTACCTGGTGCAGCTGTTTAAAAGTTTCTTCTTTCTTTCAAAACAAAAACAATTCATAATATTTTAAAAGTAAAAAATAAGGTTTTGAAATTTATTTAAGGCACAAAAAAAAAAGACAAATATTCTTGTCTGTTCTTTTTTTTTCTTTAATTTTATGTTAACCAATTTAATGTAGGCACATTTTGTCTTAAGGCAAAAAATGTTTCATATTTAACATTATAATCCGGTGTTCGTTTTTCTGGTGCTTTATAACGTATAGTTGTTTTTTCAGCTAAATAACTAATTAATTCACATTGTTCTTCAAATATATATAATTTTCTACGAAATTTTCGTCGTATATAATCAGAACTTTTCGTATTATAAGCTTTAAGATGATATGCCATATAGATTAATCCTGATGTTTGAATAGATAAAAATGGAAATTTTGGTTTAAATGTTCCTGTAGCTGTTAAACTTTT